CCCCAAAACCCCAAAACCCCAAAACCCCATCTGTATATTATACTATTGAAATTTTCCAAATATCGTATTCTGTAACTTCTTCTGTCCTCTTGGAAGTGTACGCTTTTCCATCTGCATTTTGGGCGTGAACTTCTTTGCAGTCGAGAATGAGAAATTCTTGTAGTCAAATTTATTAGCACTAAATATTAAGAGCCTGATGTTACAGGAAATTTGGCTCTTTCAAACTGTTTGTCAAAGTTAATTGGCACTTTGGCTTATTCCCTATTAGATTAGTCGAAATTTAGTATCGATGGGTTAACAATCTTTAAAATTATTTGGTATTTTCAGCAACAATCCCAATGCAACTTTATACTACTACATACAAATTATGAAGCGCAAAAGCAGAGATAACTGTCATATAATATGCTAATACTTGCTGAATCTCCTCTTATAAATTTCTGCATAACTATAAATGCAAAAAGCTATTTTCAAAAGAAGAGTTTCAACGAGCACTTCACTATTTTAAACTATACCATTTGCAAATAATAAAATAGTTAAAGTTCCTTCTGCTTGTCACATAAGGATAGTTTATTAACACTCAATATAGTTTGATGAAGACAAGTCTTACTACTTATCGATTTCTTAGAGCTAGTAATCTGGATTGCTTCAACATGGTCATGTCTGCTGTCTCGTTGAGGAAGTATCATACTCGCCTAATCTGTGATAAAAGGTCTTACTCTTCTATTCTGTTTACCAAAACTTGGACCTTGTCTTTGTTGATAAATTTTGAAATTCAAGTTAAGCTAAATGGGGCTTTAGAAGTGACAAAGTAGCTTATGAAGCAAAAGAACGAGCTTGGAGACAACCAGAAGATTGGATATATGGAATGGGGTTTAGGAATAGGTCTGGGCTGTGAAATGGGTGATTTTTAGGTATTAAGATGAAGTTCTGTCTGTTGTAATAGCTTTATAGATGGAGAGAGTAGGGAGTAATTAGGATCCTTATTATGCTCTTCTAGAAATATACCATGAACGTCTAAATTTTGTCTTATTTTGTGTTAAGATTCTCAAAAACTCTCTCGTCACATACTTTCTCTTGATTGGATCTCTTTCACTTTCCTAACTGTCCAGTAGATTGTGACTGTCTCATTGATCTATCAGCCTTACTGATCTGAGGCAAAAGCTTCTTTAATATCTTTTTGGCATTCAAATCCAGGATGATATTCTGGTCTTCTCCCAACTTGAATAAGTAATCCTTAATCGTCCGAATAGAAGTACTATTTAAAGTTATAACAGAAAATTTGAGAGGACAAACTGTATTAAGGAATTTATCTAAGAAAAGAATTTCAGGTTTAGATGAACATATTTTGTTATTCCATATCATTCAGAAACAATATTATTTTAATGAGGATCTTTCTTTAACTTGTAAGCTTATTGATCAATTTAGTTACAAGAAGAGTTATGAATGACTTATTTATGCCAGAAATTATACCATACTTCAACCAAATTGTACAAAGATTGGAATAAAAGTATAAAAACTGCAATAAAACCTAAGAACTCCAACTTACTCATCACAAATCTTTAACTTCTTACTTCTGCTCCTCTATACCCTCCTTTACACCCTCACTATACCTTTCTTGATCTGTGTCTTCACAATATCAGCCAGTGTCAATGGTGAACTTTTCTTCAGATTCAAAAACTTGCTCATAATAATACTAGCTGTGGCTTTACTTTTCAACTTCTTCATGCTTGTCGCTAATCTCTTCTTCCTCTCATTCACTAATGGTGACCGACCACTTACACATATTCTTCTTGAAATATATATCTTCGATATCCATTCTTTCCTGATCGGTGCCTACTTGGGGTAGAAGGAAAAGTGGTTTACCGGTCTTTTGCAGTTTTTGAGCACTCTTTTGGACGAACTTGTCTATATCCTTGAAAGATGCATTTCCTTTGCTCCCTCTTAAGATTATGCTTAGAAGTTTGGACTTGTTCTTGGTGAGATAGGAGCTATTGAAGATTTTGGAATTGGGAGAATTTGAACCAACAATGGTGGGGTCCATGCTTTGCTTCGATTTTATAAGTACAATAAATCTTTAATAACTTTAGCCATCTCAGAAGACTCTTGTTTCTCCATTTCCTTGATCAGCTTATCTGAGATAACCATCGAATCACCAGGGCTATGGTGAGGAGCAAGGCTTACTTATGCTTGACCTTTCCTTTCAGTACTAATTGTTGGTTTCGATGATATTTTTCTTCCTCATCTTTGAGCTTGAAAACTCCTCTGAAATACTGCATTATGTCCATTTTAAATTTGCTTCTGAGTTAATAGATTTGGGAATTATTTTTATAATTTCAATATTGGCATAAATAAGAGGGGTTTTGGGGTTTTGGGGTTTTGGGG